ATGAAACAAGTACCATTCGATTTGTCTCGATGAGGCGGATCGAATAGTACCAAAATTATTAAATTTCAATTATTGGACCGCAAGATTTAGTAAATTTTAAAACCACCTCACAATCTTGCTAACCAGTGGTCCAAATTTTATGATTTTGGTACCATTCGATTCTTCTCAATGAAGTGGTTTGAATTGTATTGAAAACATTAAAATCGGATCACTGGGTGTCAAGTTATACGCAAAAGATGTTTTGTAGCACAGTTTTGCTCAGAACTGTAATTTTTTTCTTTGCAATTTTGCGAAGAACTACGCCGCAAACCGTATTTTGTGTATAATTTGACACTCAGTGATCTGATTTTAACATTTTCGATACTATTCGAACTGTCTCATCAAGAGGAATCGAATAGTACCAAAATCATAAAATTTGGACTACTGGTTAGCGAAATCATGAGGTGGTTTTAAAATTTACTAAAACCCGATTATCTCGTGTCCCAATAATCAAAATTTAATGATTTTGATACCATTCGATCTAACTCATCGAGATGAATCGAATGATACTTGTTTCGTTAAATTTGGAGCGTTGTGTCACGAGATATTTCAAATTTTGATGAAAAATTCTATAGTCACAGATCTTTGCAGATTTGCACTATATTTATTTTCCCAATGTATATCAAAAAAGTTTAAAATTTTTTGGTGGACGTTTTTAGGGTTAGGGTTAGTGTTAGAGTTAGGGATTGGAGTTAGTTTTATTAATAAAAGAGTATAAGTGAGTTTTATAAGCTTTAAAGATGAGCAAGAAAGGTCCTCAATTTTATTTTAATCTGATTTCATTATGATTTGCGACATTAAATATTTGAGATTATTGGATCCTTCTGGTGTGCTATTGGAAAAAATTACTGGATCTATTTAGAATTACTTGTAGTATAGTACATAATTTGCAATTTAATATATTTTATTTTTATGATAAACTTAATTACATATATAGGATGCGTAAAGATGCTACATGATTTTGGTAAACAGCTGAATAAATGATGAATATAATAATGAATTGGTTGAGAAGCTTGGGCATATGGAAATCCTATTGAATATCATGGTGATTATGGGGTCTTTGATAATAATTGGGTATTTGATCCAAATAATTTTTCTCCAGAAATTTTATAAACAAAAACTACCATAATATCAACTAGGCAAAACAATCATTTTGCCAAAAGCTCAGTTAGCCAACATTATATAGAGTTAGGGTTATGATTACATTTAATTAGTTGCAGTAAATTATCACTTTCATGATGTTGGTTAAATAAGCTATTGGTGAAATGATTGTTGGTGAGGTAAATGGAGCTGTGTTAAGTATAAAGAAGAATTATAACTAGAATTCTCTTCTGATTAAGGGTATTCTCAAGTATCACCCTGGCAAAGCTCAAGAGCCTGTTGTTATCTTCTGATAATATTCCTCATGCAACTGCAATTGTTGCAGCTACTCATAATTCTGAGCTGGCTGATGAAAAAACCGTGGATTTTGATATACAACTAGCAGATTTTTTAATAGCGAAGAACAAATTAATTACATTGAAGATAGTATATAAGAATATGGGTGTTTCAAGCAGTATGTTTGATGTGATTAGCTAGTGATTGAGATAGTGCTCAAACACTATAATAGACCATTTTTGAAAACCGGTAGTATTTGAGTAGTAACTCAACTAAGTAAATCAAAACTATATAAGCAAACTATGGAATTGATATATTACAAATTTTTATCTTAAGCAAATAAAAGATCATAATAATTATTGTTATTATTATTATTAAATTTTAAAATGGAGCAACTTATCAAAAATCTCTAGAAATTTTTACAAGAGCTTTATTAAATGTTGAAAAATAAAGTTACACTTTAAAATTTTTTATTAATGGGTATCTGTTAGCCCTCTGTACTAAATTTAATACAAATTGAAAAAATTATTTTACAATAATAAAATTATTATTTTTATTTCAAACTTTGCTAAAATATTCTTTAATACTAGTATTTTTTTTTTTTTGTAAAATTTTAGCAAAAGTTAATTATAAAAATTTTGTATAAATTAGTTTTAAGTAAAAATTACATGTTGCAAAA